AGGGTATTGAAATACCTTCTCGTTGGAAGTTGAGCTTCCAAGTCGATCAGGAATTCCAAGAAACGTTCACAGTATGCAACTTTATCCTGATCCACTAAATCGGGGGAATCCAATCATGTTAATTCGTGTACCGAAAGCAATCTACATTTTATAAAATTTTGATCGTGTTACCATCTCCAACCTCAGGCATCGAATACAAGACTTCCACGAATCCTTTCATGTAGTTACTAATCCAGGTTCTCTGAAATCGCAGTTGTTCTTTATGCACCTCGTCTTTAAGCAAACAACGTATTTAATGTTACTTATTAACATATATTTTCAGATTCTTGATAACAAGTTAAATAGAAGATTAACATTTACCAACCAGGAACTATTGAATACCTGCATTTTTATACCTTTTCTCGAAAGCTTTCCATTGCTTTTTAAGATTTTTGTTAGACGTGAATTCTTGTTCTCGTAAAGATTTCGATCCGAAACAATGCCACGTCACAAGAGAAACCAAACTAAAAAGAAGATCCGTTAGATCATTAAGGTCAAAGTAAAAAATACTATTAACAAACACGAAAAAACCTTACATTATGCACTCTTTCCTTAATAACGGGTTTTCTAAGCTTTGAAATGCATGAATCAAGAAAACGAGAATAAATTTTCTAACTTGTAATGTCAGAGCATCTGAAATGCTAAGATGGAGAACGCGCATGAAGAACTTTGGGAACTGATCAGGCAAGTTCACGAAGCTATCTGCTCGAGATTGACATCGTATTCGTTTGTTAAGACAAATTATTCGCGCTTGGATGTTGAATATAACAAGCTAAACATCATAGTATACCCCATGCAGCCACTCGTTCTCTAAATTTTTCGTTAACCATTAACACTATAGATAATACATGCTCCAAGGAATCATCATCTCCGTTAAAATTTGGCCAAAGGTACTAAAATATTCGTGATAATATAGCTTACAATAACCAGCAAAATATAACAATCAACGGAATTTCACATAAAATTTCGAACCTTTTCCAGATACTGACTGAATTCCAGCAACATCAGTTTTTTAGTTTCAAACCGATTTTTTTCCAACTCTTGGCGATAAATATTTTCTACAATTTTTGGATCCCATATCCTAGAAGCAGGATCCTTTGCCTGCCAACATTTTCGAGCTATTTCAGATATTGAATCTTTTTGTATCTCGAGGAGCGTTGGATGGTAAGCCCCGGTCCTCGTGCTTTCGGTCGGTGGTGCGTGTGGAGGTAATGTCGTCTGACGAGATTCGGTCATTTTGCTCAAAGAAGGGATACTCTAGATTACGGGAATTACGTGCATCGAGAAATTGATCTGCGTTATAATGCCGCGTGTAGATCTCTACAGAATAATTTTTAAGATCTTCACATTCATTCTCATCATTTTCAAAGGAAAAAAAAAAATAATAATAAAATGGGTCGGAAACAGAAAACGACAAATCAAATTCTCACATCGAACCCAATTCCAACAGAAACTCAAAAAATTGCACGAGTTTTGGGTGGTCGTGGCAAGAATCTTCACGAAGTACAATTACCAAATGGAACCACTACGCTGTGCTCTCTACCTCCAAAATTTCGTAATCTTGTATGGGTTAAGCGCGGTACCTACTTATGCTTTTCACTCCATAGAGAAAACTCCTTTTATTAAAACATTTCTTTATACTGGTCTGACATTTATATTAGGAAGTTATGTAATTATATCGCCTTTTGAATCCGAAAAACCTAACAAGATAGGTGGAGACATTGTGCATGTTTTATTTCCTGAGCACGTAAAGTACCTAAAGTCCGAAGGAATGTGGTTAGTAAAATCATGATCTCTTTTCGTGAGATCTTTGTGTATTAACTCTAGACTGTTGTAATTTGATAAAGGCCTATCGAATTTGAGAATCAGATGGAAACAAAAAATACCTCTAGGTAATTGCAAGATTTCTTC